ATATTTCCTCTTAAAGCAGCTACTGCCGAGAATTGTGCCCGCTGTTTAGTTGACGAAGTAATCTTAAGATATGGTTTACCCAGACGCGTTATTAGTGATAACGCTACACAGTTTGTTAGTGCGGTCATGCAACAAGTAGCGTACTGTTTAGGTTTTAAACAAACCCTAATTCCGGTTTATTGGCCAGCCGCAAATCCTGTAGAACGGAAAAATCGTGATCTAAAGCCCCAACTGGCAATTTTGACAGGAGCTGACCATACATCATGGAAAGAACAAATACCAGCTGTAAGATTCGCTATGAACTCCGTTAAATCGCAGTCAACAGGTTATAGTGCCGCGTTTCTAACCTTCGGTCGCGAATTGCGTACTCCCGATGATGTAAAACGAGACTTTCGGACTATTGTACAAAATGACAACTTCGTACCAGAGATAACCCCATACCTAAAGACTCTCAGTAGTGTTCTATATCAAGCTCGCGAAAATTACGAAGCGAGTCAAGATCGCGCAAAGTCATATGCCGATAAGTATCGTCGCGCCAATATGACGTTTAATGTGTCGGACAAAGTGCTCGTTGACGTGCATGCTCTTAGTAAAGCGAAGGACTCTTTCACGGCAAAGTTCGCCCCGCGTCGCGATGGTCCATACATAATAACCAAGGTGGTTAGCCCAACCAGCTACGAGATATCGTCGCCACAGAATCTAACCGAACCTCTCGGTAAATACCATGTATCAGCGCTTGTGCCCTATCGTGCTGATACCGATACCGATGATGGTCCGTCTCCTAACCCGTTGGTTCCCATTCGCAGAAGAGGACGTCCCCCCAAAACAGCATTAGCTGTGCCTGATGAAAACCATGTATACACAGAAGAGAATGACGTTGCTTCGCCTCATATAGATGCCGAGGCGCTCCTTCCCACAATAACACCTGACCCGAATGATGACCCTCCTAGTGAACTCTTTCGTCATCGTCTCCGGAGACATCCCGTCCAGGGGTCCACCTGCCAGTGTTGCCTTCTGCTCACACCTGTTCTTGCTTCTACTTGAGGGACTCTGCGTGAAGCAAAGGGGGAGGTTGTAACAAATCTCCTAAGTGTGTGCAACATGTGTTGTGTATGTTGCCTACCCTGTAGGTCGCTCTGCGTCCTGTATTATTTGTGATGTGCTATGCGTCCTACTAGAAAAGGGCCATACAGATTATTAGTTTGTTTGACTGAAGAGGTTATAACGCTTCATGTTTTTGTTTCTTTTATAATAAGTCTTTTTATCTAAGTTTGTTCATGTAAGAACAGTGTTAAATAAATACCGTTAGCATTGAAAATATATTCTTTCCCTAAGAAAAATAATTAACGAACTCGACGATAATTGAAGGGGTAAAATAACATCATAATCCCCTTATAATACTTAATAAAACTCGTAAGAAAAATAACTGTAATTGGTCATATAGAAAAATATATGTACCTTCTTTATTGCTCCTTTGCATGCGTTAAGAGCTCAAAAAACTTAATAGCTGATTATCATATTTATATCTTTAATTTTATCTAGAGCGTTTATTTGTTGTCCGATAAATATCTGAGATAGGCTATGCAATTTCCTTACTATAACTTACCTAATTATTTTTCATCGACGTGACCTTGATACTCTTTACAAACCAGCGGCTTGTCGATTTAAGGAGGAAAAATAAAATTAAGCTTAAATGTGCTTTTGTAATTATTTTCTTATGGCATGTTTAACACAGATATTTTGTAGATCGCATAACCACAATTAACTTTAGTGCAAATTACATTTTTTATTTCGTTTCGCCTTTTCGATTTCCAATCCGAAAATCGTTCTAAAAAAATTCTGGAACAAAAATTGTTAAATTTTTAAATGTTAACTTAGTCTCCGTCTTAAAGGCCCCATATACATACCTGTATACTTGAATAGTATACATGCACAAGTTTATTGTGAAAATATTGTGAATATGTGTGTGTTCACAATACACGCACAAACATGTATACACAATGCGCCAATTTAAACTTGAACAATCTTCGGACAACGACAACGTATTGGCCGCTGCTGCAGTAGTTCTACTTCTTAAAAAACAGCGAAAAATATACACTTTGGTGTAAGGAGTGACTAAAGAAGAGAGAAACCTGTGCACATATGAATGATTTAAATGAATAGAGAGTGTACCCATGCTACCCAAGAAACTTGTCTGCAGTTATTATCACTTTTAAGTCCTTTAATTCAAAAAGGAGTCCTTGTTATTTGAGATACATGAAAGAATAATGGCAACATTATGATCTATCTATTAGAGTATCTAAAATTTTCAACCATAAGCTCACCCGACGCACTAGGCCACATCATTCCTAAGAGAGGTCGTGAAAAAATTGGAGTAAAACTATATAATTCAACATAATTAGAAAAAGAGAAGCGACGGAGGTATCAGAATTCTTAGTGAAAACATCTTCATATAGTATCGTCAGCGAACGAGCTGTGAGGGACGCTAGAGACGCACTATTCCGAAATAGGAACTCCACAGGTTGGCTTGTAGCATTGCTATACATGTAGGTTGACTAACATTTGGTACTTCACATTTATCTATTGAATGTTTGTTGCTTCCTCCTGTAAATCCTAAAAACTAACTAACATCAATTAGTTTAAATACAAATGAATGAAATTGATAGCGAATGATTTTGAAACAAGGTGGAATTTTTCTCACTGTTTAACTGCTTTGGATACAAAATACGTTCAGATCATACCATCAGCAGGAACCGGTTCATATTTTTCTTATTACAAGAAGACACACAGTATGGTTCTACTGGCTATTACTGATGCAAACTATAAGTTTTTATTATTTGATTTCGGAACGAAAAGATGGGTCTCTAATGGCGTTGTTCTCAAAACACAGTACTATTTGACAAATTATAGAAGAACCCACTAGATTCTAGCAGCCCGTTTTCGTGTTATTTACACAGCCATAAATTTGAAGGTCGAAAATATTGAGTCGGTAGTAATAGCAAATTCTGCATTACATAACTTGTTGGTGTTAAAATTGGGCTATGCCTATGCTCCACATAAATGTTTGGATCTCGAAAGTAGAGAAGATGGTACAGTCGCCAATGGGTTGACAACGCAAAAATTTAAATTTGCAAACTTTACAATGAACTCATCCTGGTAATGTACCAGTATCGGCCAAAGACATACGAAACGAATCATTTATAAAATACTTTGCAGCTGAAGGAAAAGTGTCTTCGCAAACCGATTTTAGTAATTAAAGGAACATTTTATTTTTTTAGATACGAAATTTTGTCAATAATTTACAAAATATTTTATACCGTTAGCATTTTTTTAAGACAAATGTCTGGGAATATTTTGGTTACCCACAAAACTTTTCGACTTTTCTTGTCCTTGCTGTGATTAATACGAAGGGCATTAACAACTGCATCACGATCTAATTTTGGGTTGATTTCCTTCAATTTTTTATCAGTTTTTTATATGCCATCTCTCTTTTTCTTCTATCGTGGTATTCTTTGCTTTTTACAAACCACAGACATAGCACCTGTTCGTCAATCGAAATAAATTCTTCTAGATATTCCCAAGCACAAATACTTTTATCTCTACTTCTTCGATTTCCGGCTGTCTTTCTGGGGACATACCTTTTGTTTTGTGATAGTCTGTAAAATCTTATAAATAATAATGTATTTCAAAACACATTAAGTGTTTCAAAAAAATATTTGCAATTGTTTGTCTACAAGGTATGGATTATTTTTGAAGGTATTAGCAAATAGATCTACAAATTCTGACATAGAATCTTCTTAATAATACGATTTAATTATTTGATCCTTTCATGCTAACAGATTCTAAGGAGGAGGCGCATATCGAGTTACTATAGAGCGTTCCATGTTAAGAAAATAACATTGCGGAGGTAGGGCAATGTATTTCTTATGGACGATAGAAGCGCGGCGATGCCATGACAAATACAAGGACGATTCAGGGTTGTATAATTTGTATTTTCGTTTCCACAGTCATGAATTAAATTATTGTTTTTTAACGTAATTGACCAAAAGTGTCCATTCGAAACAAGAGATGAAAAGTAGGGAAAATTATTTTATTTTATTTTAATTATAGTAACGACAGTTACTTTTATTTGTTTTTCGATGAAAATACCATATGCCATGAATCATAGAAATCAGTAGAAAATATAGCTTAGTTAAATCTTGCATTTGCAGGCTATTAAAGATTTAAAAGCAAATAAACGGACCGCTTGGAATGCATATATCTAATTAATAATTGCAACTTAAAATATTACGGTGTGCGTATGTCAGCGATTTTATGTCATTCTCTGACTACATAATGATAATAATGCTTTGTGGTTCTTTAGTAGTTATTCTGACTTTACAGTTAAATGTTAATTGAAAATGGAAATTCAAAAATTAAGCCAAGGGAATATCTTGGACATCCGTGCAAAAGAGAGTGCCTGAGAGTTTTGGCAACACTGATCTCCATAAGCGTAATGATATTTTCTTAACTTGAAACAAAGTATAGTATCAATCGCATATCGCATTGTAGGCTATCGCTGTGGGATATTGGCACAGACTCGAAAAAAGGCAGCTACCACGGTTACTTTAATATATATTACCTATGTCCAACTAAAAAGTTTAAGGTACTGTAATATATATATATATATATATATATATATATATATATATATATATATATATATATATATAATTTTTGTTTAGAATATTATATGGAACTGTGCACACAAAAAACTAACTGGAATAAAAATGTGATTTTCCAGCACACTAACCTTATATTTCAATTATTGTGAGAAATCGTCAAGTTTGTTAACATAAAACTATGCAGAAAACCGCTTTTTGAGTAGTGATTGTAGAAAAATGTCATGTTAATTTTATCATTTTGTTTTGCTTATACCTGCTCTTGTCTAATTATATTTCGCCATATATTATAATATATTGTTTTAAAATTGATTATTTATAAAATAAATATTTTTTTAGGTTACTATGTCATACCTTGAAATTTACAATGAGCAAATTCGAGACTTACTTAATCCATCATCAGGATTTTTAGAATTGCGGGAAGATTCTAAAGGAAAAAGTATGCAGGTAGCTGGATTATCTGAAATTTCTACAAATAGTACCGACGAAGTAAGTCAAATAAAACCATTCAAGAATTATCATATATGGTTTCCCTAAATTAGCTTGTCTACTTAGTTTAATTTAAAATTTTACAAAAAAAATAAAATACTGCTTATTACTGAATTACTAATATTTTTAATAATAACATCACACATTTGAGTTCTTCAAAATGTTAAAAATTTTAATTTTTTTCCTTAAAAATTATTTATGTTTAATAACTTTAGTAATTTTTAAAATTTCTTAAATATATTATATAATTTATTCATCAATAACATTTAGATTAGATTTCATTATATTGGATTAAAAATAAACAATTTCTCCTTGGCGGGGAATCGAACTCCGGTCATTCGCGTGAAAAGTAAAAAGACGTGAAGAGAGTCACGGTTTTGATGACGTCAATCCAAAGGAGTATATAAATATAACTGTTTGAACGTAAAAATCAAATTTTTAATTTACTATTCTCCTTACAATTTTGTCATATATCCTCACCTTTCAAACCTTACTTGAACTTCTACAAATATTTCAAAATCAAAATTAGCCAAATTACACCAGTCATTCTCGAGTTGTTTTGAAAAAGTTATAAAATGACGAATGTTAAACGTCATTTTATTTTTATAATAAGGGTATCATGAATATTTCTGTATACCACAAGGTTACTGTACGCGTTTTGATATTTAGCATCACGCTAACTAATATTTCGGGCCCGTTCTAAAACATTATACGCAATACAGCAATACGATATTGTTGAAATCAAAATCTTTCATTAACAGACAATATGAACCTCTGAAAACTATATGTATGCATAAAAATATCGTGCGTATTCTTATCACCATATATTGGAGGTAAGGGCTTGTCCTATGGCCACTTATACACTCCCACGGTACCTTACAGAGGGTCTTCGACCAGTCTATTCAAAGTATCTTCTGCGTATCTTCCATCTTGGTTGATAATTACTATCTCTTACACAAGTAATAAATGAAACACATCAGTGGCAGGTAGACAAGATCCAGCCACAGAGTCTAAAACGTTCGCAGAGCCCCGACATCGGACTCTCGGGGTGCAAAGACAGTATTTGGAAGCCAAGACCAGACTGAGACCGAGAGCAGAAAATGTAGCATATTTCATTCATTGTCGATTTTGACTCTCGTTGGGTGATTTCTTTGGTTCTGGGTATTTGATGTCATGTTTTAGGCTTTCTGCCTCTTCAGGTCGTGGTTTGTTTTTGTTTGGTGGTTGGTTGCTATTTTTTGTGTGGATCTACTGGTGTTTGTTAACTGGTCATCGGAGGAGCTTCTGGACAATCAAATTTATTAAAAACAACATATTTAAAGCAGAGAATACAAATAGATTGGTACAATAACCAAACGAAGTTTATAAAGGTTTATGAAAAAGTCACAAAGGTTTTACGAAAAAAATATAAACAAAGGTCTTCTTCTTCTTTGGCAGGTACCATATTTCATCACAGCACCTTTGACTTCGCCATCTTTGTCCTCCTCTAGGCCATCAGAAACCCATAGTCATTTGCCAGCCGGTTTCTTAATAGGGGGTATGCCTGTGCTTCGTGGTGTATGTACCACATGCGGTAGAGCAGGGAGTGACTCCGCTGCTACTCCGTGGGATCTCGGTAGCTTCTGGGACTGGTGTCTTTGGTGACTTCTCGGTCATTGAAATCTCCGGCACTGAAAAGTCTCAGGAACTGCAAAAAAGGTGGATGATACCATCAGCTGCTGGTGTAAAGCTAAAGAACCTGGGTCGTAGGCTCGTGTTTTTGTTGGGCGCCGTATAACCATATGGAAGGTAAGGGCTTGTTAGAGTATGGCCACTTATACACTCCTACAGTGCCTAGAGAGGGTCTTCGGCCAGTCTATTCGAAGTATTCTTTGCGTATCTTGCATCTTGGTTAATAATTACTATCTCTTACACAAGGAATAAATTAAACACAAGGGTAGCAGGTAGACAAGGTCCAGCCACAGAGTCTAAAACGTTCGCAGAACCGGAGCAAATCCCCGATTTCGGACTCACAGGTGCAGAGACCCTATTTGGGAGCCGACACCAGATTAAGGCCGAGAGCAAAAAATGTCGCATATTTATAAGTATATTAAGATTGATATGGCATTTTCAGATCTCTCGGGCAATAGAAAAATCAAAGGATGTTTTAAGACGGGGCGATACGCATCAGGGTACGTATTAGTCCACGACTAAGGCACCAGGATGACATTCTCTACATTTATATTTGTGATTTTCGAATAGGTTTAACGCCAATTGTTGAGCATCCGTTGAATACAAATTTTACTTCAGTAAGTACTTCTTTTCCTCGCTACTCTCGTATATTCACTCGCTGGATCTTTTTAGGTTTTTAGGTAGAGTTGCTTTACGGTTTTTTGATAAGATATCAGTAGTTCCTCTTCTTTAAAAAAAGTATGAACTGTACTACGATAAATAAATAACATTCTTGACAAGAGTAAGATTTTTAAAAGCGACAATAAATGAAAATTTCTGCAGAAAACAAATGCCATGTTCTCAAGATCTTGAGAAACACATGTGAGATTATAATAGAATTACACCCTGACATGTCTCTTTAATAAAGCCTCAAAAAACTGTAAGAGCTGCCGAATTAGACAATAGATGATTTATTTTTAATAAATAAAGTAAGCGTGTTAAGCAGAGAAATCAGGTGAAGTCTTCCTGCGCAATCTGGTGACGGAACTCAAAAGTAGTCCCAAAAATAAATCACTCTACCTGCATTTTTAGACACCGAAGGTGCATTTTATAATATCTCTATCGAGTTAATAAATTCATCACTGATGAGCAAAAAAATAACATAACATGTAAATTAATTAGTCAGAGTCTTTAGACTAGTGGACATTTTCTTAGTACTGTAAACAGACGCAATATGCCTTTCATTATATAGAGAATTGGTGTCTGAAAGGCAACCTCCCTTTAACCCTTCTAAGATTAACTAATAGCCTTTACTAATAAGATGCAGCAGAGCTAGTCTGAGTGAGCTGAAAATATTTGGGAAGTAAAGAACCAATCAGGTCAAGTAAATTCCAAACTCAATTGGAGCATCCATATTAATAACATAACCAACAGGACTACGCGACTCTTCTGGAACTGCAGATGAGTTGAAGGTAAAATCTGGAGGCTGAAACCAAAGGAAACCAGTTGGTTATGCACATTAGTAATATGAATAATCGTTACATATAGTTCATTACTTTAGTGAAAGACGACATCTTTGCAATCTTGTGCGACCTATTTTACCACCCTACAAAGAAAGCGCTTTTAAATAAAGCTAGAGTTATATATTTCGGCGACAGTCTTTATGACTATCCTGAAACTTGGAAAAAGGTTAAATTATTTATTGAAAGATCATATAAACACTACGGGTACTATACTTGAGGAATCCATCCTTCAGATAAACTCAAATATGATAACAATAAAACTAATCTTCACTGAGAAGATTAATACAATTATACAATCTAGAGAACACAAAGTCCCAAACATTAACGATGACTTAATATGTTTTACTAATCGACATACAACTGCCTATGGTACTGGATCGGGAGTCTTTGAGCAAAAATGTAATTCATTCAAATCTTACAGCTTAAATCAATAAATAACTGTGTTCTCAACTGTTTTTGGTTTGATGGCCTGCATCGAGGAATTCATGAATGGACACCCCAAAGCAAATAGAATAACATTTATACAGATAGAATGGCGGCTATTCAGGCCACAAAATACCTGCTCACTAAATCAATACCAGTGAGAAACTGCAAAGACCTTCGAAACAACCTGCCAAAATATAATAAAGTGTCTTTAATATGAGTGCCGGGTCATGACGAGGTGCATGGGAATGACCAGATTTGTTAGTAAAAAACAAGGCTTGAAAGAAATCTTTGTAGGCTCGTAGAATCATTGTGTGGCATTACCAAAGATACTACAAAAAACGAGGTTCGGAAGTGGCTGATAAGGACTCATCAAAAGAAGTGGAGATCCACTCAAGATCAAATCCAGACTAAGAAAATAACAAGAATATTAATAAAAATATTAAATATCATTAAATATATTAAACTTCAAACAAAGTTCTGAAAAAATAAACAAATAATTAATAAAATGCCTATTATGTTGTATAGTCCTAAAAAAAGTGCAACTTGTAACATGGTACTTTCAGGGTTATTCGATACGCGAAGTAATTGATTTATTTATTGTTGCCTTCAAAAATAGATCCCCACTTAGTGTTACAATAGATAAAAATACCATTAAACTTTTTAAAATTTTTATAAGTGTAAACAGTTGTAAAAAGTATCATGAAGGTAATGAACCACGTGTTAGATCTGTCGATGAGAAGCGTCAAAACAGGGATATTGATATTTGTGCTTTTGTAGTAGCTAGTGAACCCTGCAATGGTGTACAAATTGTTAGGGAAGTTCACGTGAATGCTCGAACTGTCCAGCGAGTTCTCAAAAGGAATGGGTATCACTGGTTTAAGATACAACCAACACAATAACTGTTTCCGGAAGATAACTTTAGGCGGATGAAGTTTTGTGAATTTATGTTAGGATAAACAGAATGAAAACGTACACTTTTTAAAAAATATTTTATTTTTTGACGAATTTTCAATTTTATTACATCACAAAAAAACACAATCAATCCGTTGCAAGGTATTATTCTCGGAAAAATAAGCACCTTAGTGTTGCAATGCGAACGCAACATCCGCAAAAGTTAAATGTTTGGACTGGGATGTTAGGCAACCATATTGTCGGTCCATTTTTATCGATGGAAACCTAAACGCACCCAAATATTTACAACTTTTACAGAATGAATTTTCAGGAGGTTTATTTCCAACAGGATGGGTGTTGGGCTCACAACTCTAGAGCAGCTATTGACTTCCTTATTGAAACGTTTCCCAATAGACTGATAAGTACACGTGGTATAATTAAATGAACCGCTAGATTCTATGACAGCGTCTAACGATTTCTTTCTATGGGGTTTTCTCAAAGACAACATTGAGAGGCATCAGTTTGAAAGCGCCACAAACCTAGTCGACTTAAGGGCAAAAATACTTTATTTCTCTGCAAGCATTACACCAGCTCTACTCCAAAATATGAGGAGAAATCTGTATGACAGATTTAGTTACTGTTTAGCACAAGGAACTGAAATATTTGAGCCCTTAATTTATTAATCTGCTTTTCTAATTTTTATTTTTTTTTAGGTATATTTTACGAACTTTGTAGGTTCGTAATTAGGTTTGTCCATAAAACTTATACAATTTTCAGAGACAATAAAGCATAATACATATTTACTTACTTATTTATTTTAATATACTTTATTAAAGAAGAATAAATATATTCTAGAGATGGAATTGCAATAAATCTTTATTCCCATGGTCAACAAAACAATGTTGTTACCGGTATAGAAAAGACGATTAGAACAAGAAACCATGTTTACATATGCCCGTAAGATACCCGTATGATTTTATTTTAAAACGAGCACTCGTAATGAGTTAATTTCGCGATGTTTTAATATTTTTATGAAGCATTTCTGAGAAAATTAGATTACCGCTGATATAGGGTCTTTCAATATGGATTTGGCTATATCTGTCAAATTGACTGGCATTTATTTTTTAAAAACCATGGACGGACATAGCATGTAAGACGTGAAAATGATCAATTTGTTTTAGCAAAATGGTTGTTCTTTTCCGGCAACGTTCCTCATGCTTCACTCATTTTAGTCACCTTAATCTTCCTACCGACAGGACTATTTGCATTGTGGTGAATAAATTTAATTTTACTGGTTCAGTAAACATTTAACATACACCCGCACATCGACTAAACGCAAAATCTACTGAAAACATCACTGTATCCATAAGAGTTTGCAGGAGAATCCGAGGCATTCGATCTCACAATTTGGCGAATTTTTCGTCGTAACTGTGGTGCAGTGATCAAAGAAAACAGCATAAATATATGTTCGCTGAATGAGCACAGAAGCAGTTGGAAACTGACCCTAATTTTCATCGAATAATTATCTTTAGGGATAATTCCCATTTTCAGAAGAATGTTTACATCAACAGAATTGTCGAATTGGCAACAGAATGATATATAAGATCATCCAAAAAATCCCCAAAAAAAAACACTGTTTCGTGTTCGTTTTTAGCTGACGGTCCAAAGTTTTTTTGAAAACGGCGTTGGTCAGAACATCACCGCCAACAGAGAACGCTACAGGTCGCTGATTACTAACTTATTTTGACCTCAGTTATGGAAGATATGAATACCAACGACATGTGGTTTTAACAAGACGAAGGACATACCACACAACTCAAACTTAAAGCCAATATAACTTATGTTACCAGTCAAATTCTGATGCGCCAGAGTACTAAAAAAATTGGATATTTCGATTGCGCGCTACCGAGCGATGATATGGCGCATATTTAAACAGTACTATACTCGTCTTCTATAGATAAAAGCCTTTTAATTAATAAAGTATTCTTAAAAATCATCAGAGGCCTGGATGGCTTCAATCAGAGTCTTGCAGGTGCAGCTCCAGTATAGTCACGTAGCTTTGATAGAATTTACTAGTGCTGTGAAACGGTTCGAGTGTAGGTTTGATACAAGACCCCTGGGTTTGCAAAGGTTAAATAAATGATCTTTCTGGTTGGAAGTCGGCTAGCTAGATCCAACAATATCCTGCTATATTATATATATATATATATATATATATATATATATATATATATATATATATATATAATCATAAACCCATTTACCCTAAGATGTCGGGCCTCTAAGGGTAATGTCTTTTGTTAGTTGCATGTAAAATTTTTCTTCATTGCTTCTTATTCTTTGCTTGGTTTTTTGCTTGTTCTTTGCTGATTCCTCGTGTCTCTAGGATTGAGGTAACATTATCATCCCATGTTTTCATTGGCCTGCCCCTTGGTCTCTTGGTTTGTCTTCTGGCTTCCCATACTTTTTTAACTGGTCTTTCTTGATTCATTCTAACTATGTGTCCGTACCATCTTAGTTGGGCCTCTTAAATTTTCTTAATAATTGGTTGGACTTTAAGATGTTCTCTGACTACCTCATTTATAATCCTGTTTAACCTGGTTATACCCATTATTCTTTTAAAAAACTTCATTTCTATGCTCTGTATTTTCGATTTTATTTTATCGGTAAGCGTCCAACTTTCACTTCCAAAAGTTAAAATCGGCACAAACACCGTCTTGTATATGGTCACTTTGGCTTTTTGGGATACTTCTTTTTTTGACAGAAACGTACTTTTAAACTTTTAATTACGTGGTACATCCCAGTATATTATACTTCCTTAATTTGCTCAATTCTGACGCCATCGATTTCTATATTTGGTTGGTTCTTTACTGATTACTATTATTTAGACTACTATTTGACATATAATTTATGTCAAATATAATTTCACAAAATTCAGTGAAAATTAATTATGTTGTATTCGCTCCGTGCGTGACTGACACGACACCTACCGCCTTTTTCTGATAATTTTGGAGTCCCAATTTTCAGGTTAAACATATGACATATGTTTGACATTGTTAAATACATGCGAAATTGACAATTACTTATAAATTAGTTTTTTAACTATATATTTTTTCAGGTTATGTACAAAATAAATGTAGTATTAAAAACTGGGTTTCTCAAAATTCCTATAACCTATAAAAACTGCACTCACTGTTTTTGCTATTATTAGCACAATTAAATACGCAACATGTATTTGCACACATTTTTAATAAAATTAATGCGTAAAAATATTTTGTCCAATATTCCAATTTTGTCATATTTCGCCGCCATGCACGCTGGCGTCGTTTCAATGTACCCCTACCATGGTCACGCACGGAGCGAATATGCATATATTTAAAGCTATTAATTTTTTAATAAATTTAAATTTAAAATAAATACATAAAAGTGTTTTTGGCACGAAAATGGTAGTTTAAGTTGTCAATGAAAAATGTTGAAAAATACTCTACAATATTAGGTATCGATTTAGGTTTTATTTACTTTTTATGTTTTATTTATTTTTTATAAAGACTAAAGACTAAAAAACCAACTATTAGTAAACTGGAACAGCTGATTAAAGAGACATGTTTCTTTTTTATTTGTTTATAAAATATCCACTTAATATCCTTTTTATAGATCATGCAACTGCTTCAAAAGGGTAACAAGGCAAGAACGATAGAGCCCACTGCTATGAATCAAACATCCTCAAGAAGTCACGCACTTCTTAGTGTCACCGTTAGACATACGATTCCAGTAAATAAAACAGATCATTTGCGTATTAAGATTAGACAAGGACGTTTATTTATGATTGACTTGGCAGGTTCTGAACGAGCCAATAAGACTAAAAACAGTGGTAAGAGATTGCAAGAAGGTGCTCATATTAATAGATCCTTACTGGCTCTGGGAAATTGCATAAATGCATTAAGTGGTGGAGCAAGGTATTTATATAATTTTTTTTTATACAATATTTTGTACTAAATTATACCTTTATGTAATGTTAATGTAATGCTAGAAAGTAAAAAGTGTACTTTTTAGTAATAATGTTAAACATGTCAAATAATAATAAACTTAAGCAACTACCTTAATATTGAATTATGTTGCCCTTTGTCATATATCCAGAATACATGAAAGCAGTTTAACATAAAATAAAATATTATTTATAACCTACAAACATAACTAGACAAATGGCGCGGGTGTTGGTGCGAACGTTTTTGACAGTATAATTTTGATGTTTGTGAAGCTAGTGATGAGTGTAGTAGTATCTACGAGCTCGGTAGACTAAGACCTCCGAAACCCTGAAAAATACACCAAAGAGTATGTCGAAATCTCGGGGCAATGATATAATTTACGCAGTTTGACCCAGAAGACTGTTGAGTGTAATATTAATTCTTGTAATAGTATTAATCTTAGCTCTAGCCGGGGAAATCGTTCGGAAAGATTTATTCCTTCTACGGGGATGAATTTTACCAGCTCAATAAATCATATAACAATATACTGCAACGTTAGAATCTTTTCTTTGTGGTACTGGGGAGTCTCAAGAAAGATTCCAGAACAAAAAATGCAATGGATTGGTCATGTCAGATGCAGATATGAAAACTATGTGGGACGAAGGATAGAGCTGTTAGAAATTGATGGAAGAAGGTGTAGAGGAAAACTGAGAAGATGAAAATACTATGTGACAGAAGGCTGAAACAGAAAGGTTTAGGTAAAGAAGACCCGATAGACAGAAACGAATGGCGGTGAAGAATAAGGAACAGCGACCCTGAAAAGTAAAAACCTGAGGAAGAAGAAAAGAATAATTTTTTAAGCGTTTGACAATCTTGTATTATTTTTAAATCAACATTAACAAGAGAGAAAAGTTAAGTTCGACTTTAACCAGGTAATATCAATATATCTAAATTTTTTACATTAACATTGCATTGTTGTTAAAGTCAAGATTATCTGGTTAATGTCGAGATTATCCATTTTAGATATATATATATATATATATATATATATATATATATATATATATATATATATACCATAAACCATTTAATTTAGTTTATTTATTGCATATATTTATAGTTTATACTTCATATCGCTTAATTTATTTATGTAAATGATGTAAGGATAGATAAATTTTAATTAAAAAGTAATATTAGTACTTTTTTTGTAATAATAATAGTTTTAAATTCTTTTTTAGATATGTAAACTACAGGGATTCTAAACTAACTAGACTGTTAAAAGACGCGCTCTGTGGCAACTCTAAAACAGTAATGATTGCTCATGTTTCTCCAAGCGCTGGGCAGAAAGAAGAATCGAGAAACACTCTTATCTACGCCGATAGAGCCAACAACATTACGACAAAAATTGAACGAAACGTTTTTGATGTTTCTTACCATGTGACTCAATATCAAACTGTGATAACTGAACTCAGAGATGAGATATCCCGATTACAGCACAAAATGAAAGAAGAACGTCCGAGGTCGGCTGATGTGAAGAAGTTAAATGCCGAGGAAAGAAGGAATGAGGTAATAAACAAATAAATGTTTTAAATACGTACTCATGTTAAGAAATTTCATATTTCGGAATTTTACAGTGATTTAAAATGTAAAATTTTATTTTAGAAGACAAATTTTGCCTTTGTTCAATGGTAAAAAAACTATTCTTTTATTTTGGCTTAGATGATTGAGGTGGTCATATTATTCTGCGCTACAATAAAATCGCTATCTAATAAAGGGATTTCGTTTGCCTGGCGTTTTCTGTTAAAGGAAGCGCCTTGATTTGTAATTGTAGTTTGTTTATTTTTTTGCGTTTCTTTCTATGCTAGAGAAATTGGTAAACCTTATGGTGATATGATTTGTAATTTAGGGGTTATGGACAACTTATTTTGTTGTAATTCTAATTAAATAGTGATGTAAGAAAGTTGGAAAAGTGGTTAGTAGTAGCTGGGCAGCCGTGACTGCCCGAGGCAGTAATTGCCGGCGGGAACGTCGAGTACATCAGTAGTATCAAGGGAGCGCGCGAGACGAGTAGTGTCCAGTCAGCGCTAGGGGTCAGTACTATAGGCGACTTCGATACGGTGAAACGCGCGATTGTGTTGTTAGCCGAAAGATAGTTCGTATAAACTGTCGAATACCGGGCGAGTGAAAAGTTCCTGTCAGAACGCGATATTTTCCACAACTGAACTTGAATTCCAGAGAAACTGAAGGGCGTATCATTAGCTAGAGCCTAAATCCGCGAAAGGTAACAAAATTCTTTATACTAACCCGAGTAAATTATAGTAGTACAGATTGTCTCCCCTTTACTTTCTTGCTAAGATCTCTTCTCGTCTCCCTTCGCGCCGAACGAGTTATTATTGATTATATCTGACAGCTTGTTAACTTAATTGTAAACCAAATTGTATATTCAATACATTTGTAGACTCTAAATTTGGTTTTTATGTACCTTTTGGCCGATTCAGACAGAGACCAGAGGAGAACAAAATTTCTACTTATACATATCTCCGGCTTCTAAAGTAAGCCAATAGACTCAACTCTTTACAGGACCTGAGACCTAGAAGTCCTTAGAGACCTTAGTTCGACGCTCCCGCCGGCAATTACTGCCTCGGGCAGTCATGGCTGCCCAGCTAGTACTGACTCCCTGGCCTCCTTCGTTCTTTGTTTTTATTGAGCTCGTATTCTCAAATGCTGATTGTAGTACCAAGGTCGAGTTTTTGCTGAGTCCTCGTGATTTAAACCAGGTCGGCGTTGGTGATATTTTTCAGCGTAGGTCTATGTTTATTAAAACGTGACTATTTTCTTTTTGAACAATTGTTGCAACTGATATTGGCTCATGTCATGCAACTAACTGAGTCAAATTGTTTTTCTTTGTATAATTTAAAATGTATACGTTACTGTATCGAATTTATTCTTTATTTAATTTGGAATATGTAATAATTACTAAAATGATTATTATTCTCCCTTATGCTACTAGCCCGTATTTTTTCTATTCTTTATTTTCCTGCTACGTTTACATTACATTACTTTCTTTGCAAAAAAAGAAAAGGGCTTAATGGCCTTTTCCTTTTCCAAACAATAAAATTATTCTACTTACATTTCTACTTATATTTCTACATACAATTTCTATGTTATATTTTACTGTTTCTTATAGACTATTGTGCGGTGGTCAGCGAATGTATCGTACTGCCCTCGTATTGTACCTATGTGTATGACAAGTTAAGTTAATCTTGTATTAATCTTACTGAAACTTAACAAGTGAAAGAACGTTCCTAACTTATTACAGTGGTTTGTGATTACGTGTGTCGATTACAACAAGCTTATTCTAATTGTTCTATACGATTGTAACTCGCGTTTCTCGGCGGTCGCGGTTTTGTATTGTTGTGTTCACTGTCCACTTTATCGGCGTAACCCTGTGGGGATTTTCCGCACTTCACTCGCGTCGTCTTGGCTGTTTAATGTCCGTTTTGCCAATTCCACGTGCCGCGTTAACTATCTTGATGCGTTACTAATGCTGTCTGCATACATTGGTTTGTCCTTGCTGGGTGGTCGTCTAGGATTGATACTGCTTTGCTTTGTCACGTTATACTTCTGTTAAATTGGTATCTGGTATGTGTTTGCTGCATCTCTTTGTCCAATGTGTCTAAGAACTCTTTGGTAGGATTGTTCGGTATAAAGGAATTTGCTATTAATGTAGGTCATTAGGTCTACGTTTTGGGGTAGGAGTGGCATACTAGGATTTATTTTGTTGTTTACGATGAAATTTATTAGGATTCGGGGGTGTTCAGTTTTCCGTACTTCTGTGTTACATAGGTATAGCCCTTTTGTGTAGAGTTAGAGCACATATGTTTTTATTTTGTTCTACTATTACCAGCTCTTCTAGTGATTGTTTATTAGTGATCTTTTCACCGTGCCCTCTGTAAAGTTGTGACAATTAACTTTCACAACTGTTGTCTTTGTATTGTTTCCAGGTTATTTCGCCTATTGTAGAGTCGAAGCCATAGCCGTTGATGAATGGGCATGTTACTCTTTCTCGTAGGTAGATTTCGGTGTCGTCTATGCTTACTGTAGCTTGGTCGTCGGATACTGTTGTTTTTACTCTTACTAGTAGTACTACGTCTTTCCATGTTCTACCATTTTCTTGATATACAATCCCGTTGCATTCGCCGTTTTCTTGTAGGCTGTCGTGAGTTGTAATTGACGCTGAGGTGGTTCCATTTAGTGTTATCTGCCCTATTGTTTCCTTGTAGAGTTGTATAGATCGATAGCGGTGTATATTTCGGCATTCTTCTGCTCCTATCTTCTCGATGTAATTGTCTAGTCCTCCATCGACTATGGACGTGTGGCTGTACATCCCACAGTGAAACATGAGTCTCTTCACCGTGATGAGTCTCTCCAGTGTAACAAATCGCACTGTTATTACTGCCCGAGCAGTCGCACTCTCGTAAGCAGATTTTAGTTAGCATAAGTACTTTCTACGCTTAAGTCCAAACGCACCTTAACCTATAATTACATGTATAGCTGCTTATTGCAGACAATTGTAGCGATAGCTTTACATAAATCTGACTTATAAACTAATCTACATTGTATTGCATATATTAGTATGCTTTATGGCCATAAATTGATAAATAAATTGATATCTAAAGCACTTATTAATATGTTGATAATTGGGGACTTGTACTTTTAAATGCTTACAATATAATATATTATCTTTCTGTTGTATATATATATATATATATATATATATATATATATATATATATATATATATACCCTATATATTAGAGTCATATATTTTAAATTTTCAACTTGTCATCACTAATTGTTTGCAGTTACGTATGTGTAACGAATTTTGTTTATTTGAAGAATATTTTCATTATTATATTTACTCTTACTTAAAAGTAAGAAATTATTGTAATAATTTCTCACTCTTTCCCAAATCTTTTTAAAATAATTCAAAGGTGGAATTTTTAAAACACAATGACACCTTCTGAGGTGTCCTGCCCATTGGAGCCCTTATCTATAGCATTACATATGTAATGATTGTGCAGATTGACTTTCATATAAATTAGTAATGGCGAACATGTGTATAGAACTATAACTTCTACCGGCAGTCCCACTGGGCTGCCACACCCGTTTTTTTTTTGTTTCAGAGTCCACTGTTTAACTTTCACTATACACACATACAGCAAAATACAGACAAAGGTCTGATCTTGTAAAAAAGGTTTTCATGTTCATAAGTGTTTTTCTTGTTTGTTTGACTGTTGATAGGATTTCTTTTTCTTGGTTGCACTGGTAGTTGATATTTGCTCTCAAATATTTTTTGAAAGTTACGTGTTCTTTTATTTACCCCTGACATACAAATGTAAATTTGTTGGTATCTTTTAAAATGCTCGTTTAAATAATAGCGGTGATGAGACGCAACTTTGTCTCACTCCAAGTCGGATCTATCTTTGGATGTTTTGTGCCTTATTTCACTTATTACCGTTTGGTGCCAATATAGTTCTGAGACAATTTGCATGTCTTGTTCATTAATTCCAGTTGTTCTCAGAATTCCGATCATCTTTTGATGATAAACGCAGTCTATATTCATGTCTCTGCATCGTGGTGTTAACAAATTTATTGCAAAAATAGCCTGTCGTGTTTCCAATCCGTTTCAAAATGCGAATTGAGTGTCACGCATCTGAAACTTCTAAATTTGCTTATGCATGTTCTGAAAAAAGATTTAAGTTATAAAAATCCACAAGGAAAAATTCCTGTAGCTGGCTGTATACCACGTATAACAAAAAGAGGTTAATCTTTGTAAATGGGTATATTTATTTAAAAAACCCTTAAAAGGGCCACATCAATAAAACAAACGTTTTCGGACTACACAGTCCATCATCAGGTTATTAAAATCGAAAATGCTAGGTCATAATGCCTGAGCCACCAAAATATTAGGGTAAAAACCCTTTAAATTACATTTAGTTATGAAATGTTGTACATTGTGTTATAAAATAACTGTGATGTTCTATATTAAATTAAATTTGACTAAAGGTAACACATGGCTCAATTGGGTTCCAGAGCCGGGTGAGAGAGAACCTCTGCACTCGGAGAACAACGTGGAACTGTTGTTCTCCGAGTGCAGAGGTTCTCTCTCACCCGGCTCTGGAACCCAATTGAGCCATGTGTTACCTTTAGTCAAATTTAATTTAATATAGAACATCACAGTTATTTTATAACACAATGTACAACATTTCATAACTAAATGTAATTTAAAGGGTTTTTACCCTAATATTTTGGTGGCTCAGGCATTATGACCTAGCATTTTCGATTTTAATAACCTGATGATGGACTGTGTAGTCCGAAAACGTTTGTTTTATTGATGTGGCCCTTTTAAGGGTTTTTTAAATAAATATACCCATTTACAAAGATTAACCTCTTTTTATTTAAGTTATACATCACGCTTAATACTCGATTGTCATCGCAATGTGAGGCATTGGATTTTTTTGGTAATTTTAAATGATGATTTTAGTCAGTCTGATGGTATTTTACTTGTGTCATATATCTTACTGAACAGTGCTGTTATCTAGTCTAAGTTTTACCTTCGTAGTCCGCCATTTATTTTAGTAATTTGACGTTGATATTGTCTGGCCCGGTGGCTTTTCCGTTCTTCTGAGCTTTTACTTCATGATCAACTTTTTCTTTGGACAATTCTGGGAATTTTTTAATTATTCGATCATATGTGGATGGTAAAGAACAAGGTTTATCATCGTCAAAAAGTATCTGAATGTATTCTTACCATCTCTCCAGTTTGTCTTCTGTTCCTATAATTATTTCGTTATTAATATTTCTTAATATTATTTGTTGTCTTTTTTTTGTGTATATCTGTCATTTCTTTTACTTTTATACGTAATTAAAAACACTTTTCACTCACATATCATGAAAATTTATAGTATAGATATCGTTTTATTATGCTTATTTATTTATTATGCTTTTATTTCCTCATTTATTACGTGTGGCTTATTTTTTATATTTTATTAATATGTATTGTTCCTTCAGGTGCAGCAACTTCGAGAACAAATAGTGGAGACATTTAAGACACAAATGAAATTAAGAAGAAAGTTAATGGAAATTGATTCACATCTTCTAAGTTTAGGCATGGAATCAGAAAGGCAACATATGATCATATCCCACTGGGAGTCGAGAAATAATAAATTATATAAAAATAGCCTTAACGAATCCAGAGCCAGAACACAACAAAGCATGAGGTAATTCAAAGCTATTATTTTCTTTTGTAATTTTAATATATCTTTAAATTTGTGGTGAAAATCAGAATGATTAAATTACTTAATTTATTTAGTTAAATTAATTTATTAATCTTATACATTAATTAAAAATATAATTTCAAAAAATGGTGAATTTACGTGTAAAAGTTTGGCGCATCCGCCAACTATTAGTACCAATCTTTGAATTCAGATCAAAATCTAAAAGTCTAATATGCAAATTTTGGTTAAAATTTCATTTTTAAAAATGTGAGTCCACGTTGAAGTTTCACGGCAGCCAGCAAGATTTTAATCACAAAATGCCTGTGAGAGTCCAACGTGGCATCACGCCTTGACTTGTCTATTTCGTCGCCGTGCCTTGCGTTTTTCATGTTAGTTCTTAGATTAGAGCAGTACAATGCAGTGGTACGAGAAAGTGACAACAAAAAATATTGACAAGAAATTTTGTCAGAAAAAGAATTGGGTGTTTTCCAAATGCATTAATGCAATTTTTTATTTCTTCATGATCGCATTAGTTCACAAAATATCCTGATACACGAATCGAATGCACCTAACTGCATCTCAATTGGTCTTACTGCACCGATTTTTTAACGTTCATTGCTTCAGTGCGCTAGCCTCTCCTACTCAATTCCTATCTTCACCTCCAAGCTGGTACACACCGGTAACCTGAGCAACCCCACTGGAGATTGGGTAACCAACCCCCAATGGAAGGTGGGGTCAGGGCTGACGAAGAAGGGAGTCTTGGTCCTCCGACGAATAGGGGGTTGGGCTGAAGGTTAACTACCTTCTCCTAGAAAAACCATGAGTTATGAACGTTCAAGGAAGAAAAGCCGGACTGATTAAACGACGACGACTGTGCGAGAAAACGGAACATGATTTGAGGGTTGCGACATGGAATGTTCGAACATTGTACATATTAGGGGCTCTCCAAAATCTCTTAAACGAACTAAGTAGATACAAAATTGACATAACTGCCATACAAGAAATGACGTGGATTGGAAACAATATTATGGAAAAAAAGAGCCATACCATTTTCTACAGCTGCGCTCCTAAAGATCACATTTTGGGCACTGGATTCATAGTTAACAAGAGAGTAAGACATATAATAAAAGACTTCAGAGCCATCAGTCCCAGAATGTGTATTTTAAGAATTAAAGGACATTTCTTCAACTACAGCCTAATTAATGCGCATGATCCCACAGAAGAAAAAGAAGAGGAAGTCAAAGAAGAGTTTTATGATGAATTAGAGTCTGCATACCAGTCATGCCCAAAAAGTGATATAAAAATAATTTATGGAGACTTAAACGCAAAAGTTTGAAGAGAGCAGCAATTCCAACCCACAATAGGTAAGCACAGTCTCCATGAGCAATCAAATGACAATGGCAATAGGTTGGTAAACCTAGCAAGTTCACTTAACATGGTGATTGCCAGCACATACTTCGCTCGAAAAGATATACACAAAGGCACCTGGAAATCACCAGATGGACTTACAGTGAATATGATAGATCATGTTATTGTAGACTCAAGACACCAATTGAATATAATAAACGTCCGTACCAGAAGAGGGGCAAATGCGGATTCTGATCACTACCTGGTCGAAAGTAGGATAAGGGCTAGAATTTCAAACATCAAAAAGGAAAGAGGCTCTAAACATGAACGATACAATATAGAAGGACTCAAAGGAACAATCAAAAATATAGAGTACAAAGAAAATATAAGCATCAAACTAGAAAACAGACCAAAACATGAAAACATACATGAGGAGAGGGAAGAGTGCAGAGAAATCATAAAAGAAACAGCTAAAGAGGTGTTGGGCATGAAAGGTAAAGAAAGAAGAACAAGAACGAATCACTGGTTTGACGAAGAATGTCAAACTATAACAGAAAGAAAAAACAGAGCATATCTACAGATGCAACAGAGGCACAGAGCCGGACAATTAGAGGAAGAATAGAAACAACTACGTAAAGAAGAAAAGAAAATTCACCGAAAAAAGAAGAGAGAATATATCAACAAAGAACTTCAAGAACTACAAGAACTAAGTAAACCAACAGAGACAAGAAAATTTTACCAGAAACTCAACAAAAGCAGAAAAGAGTTCAAACCGAGAACAACGATGTGTAAAGATAAGGAGGGTAATATGTTGACAGAACAGCAAGAGATACTTAGAAGATGGACAGAACATTTTAAGGAAAAGCTTGGGGTGAACAGGACGGAGATGAACCCTGATATACCATTAGACCAAGCAGACAACAGAGAAAAGAGTCCACCAACAATGGCAGAGATTAGAACAGCAGTGGACAAATTAAAGAACAATAAATCACCGGGATCGGATCAAATATCATCGGAGCTACTGGAAGAAGGGGAGACGCATTACTTAAAGCCATACATGAGCTGATAAGAAAGATATGGCTAAATAAACAGCTACCAAAGGAGTGAAATAGCGGCATTATTGTACCACTACATAAAACAGGAAACCAGTTAGAATGTGAAAACTACCGTGGAATCACGCTGTTGAATGCGGCATACAAAATAACGTCCAACGTAATATATGAAAGACTTAGACCATACGCTGAAAAAATAGTTGGCAAATACCAATGTGGCTTCTGTAGACAGAAGTCAACAATAGACCAGATATTTGTTCTGCGACAGATCCTTGAAAAAACAAGTGAATATAACATCGACACACATCATTTCTTCATAGACTTCGAAAGCGCATATGACAATATAAACCGAGAATTCCTAACAAAAGTAATGAAAGTATTTAATATACCAACACAGCTAATAGAATTGATAAAAGGAACACTAAAAGTAGAAAGTAAAATCCGGATACAAAACGAATTAACGGAAACAATAGATGTGAAGAAGGGACTACGCCAGGGAGACGCTCTATCATGCATATTATTCAACATCATACTTGAAAAAATAATAAGAGACACAACAGTTAATACCCGAGGAACAATAATTAATAAAAGCGTGCAAGTACTAGCATTTGCATATGATGTTGACATAATCGCAAGATCAAGAAGAGAAATGATAGACGCATTCACTCAAATAAAACGCGCTGCAAAAAATAGTGGTCTTAAAATCAATCAGACAAAAACAAAATATATGCCTGCAAAAAAAACGCACAAATAAGGCAGCTGCCAAATTTAACAATAGGAGAATACAACATTGAGGCGGTAAAAAACTTTACATACTTAGGATCCCTAGTTACGTCTGATAACAACGTTGCAGAGGAAGTGAAGAGGAGAATATTTATTGCCAATAAATACTACCATGGCTTAATTAGGCAACTAAGATTAGATAACGTCTCCAGAAAAACAAAATGCCAAATATACAAAACCTTAATAAGACCGGTACTCACATACGGTTCAGAAACCTGGACACTCTCTAAAAGGGAGGAAACGTTATTAGCCACCTTTGAAAGAAAAATCTTGCGACACATATATAAGGGCACAAAAGAAAACGGGATTTGGCGGAGAAGGTATAACTTTGAACTATACAACATATACCAGGATCCGGATATCATAACATTCATTAAAATAGGAAGGCTGCGTTGGATTGGACATGTGGAAAGAATGGAAGAAGGCGAAATACCAAACAAAATATTCAAACAAGTGCCAGTAAGAAAAATAACAAGAGGAAGACCGAAGCTGAGATACGTAGAACAAATAGAAAATGATATAACAACATTAAAAATGAAAAACTGGAAAAAAAAAGCACGAAACAGGTCAGAATGGAGAAGAATCCTTGAACAGGCCAAGACTCAAAAAGGGTTGTCGAGCCAGTGATGATGATGATGATGCTTCAGTGCGCATTTAAGTGTTAAGAGAGCAACAGTTTTATGTTGAACATGAACAAAATAAATAACTTAAAATATTAAAACATAATACTTTGTATTCTCTATGCTTTTTTCTCTTTTTTTATTATTATTAACGCATTAACCACGCAGGTTCATTAGCGAGTTTAGGTTAATAAGTTGATACAATAAGTGAATATACATTAGTTTACAATAATAATAATAGTAATATTTATGTGTGTTACAATGTACGTTTTAGATCTTTTGAAGAAGTTGACAGACTTTAAGATAATAAAATAGGAAAATATTTTTCGGGTATCTGTATGTTGTATTTGAGTCGTTCACTGTTATATTTGGGACACTGTATTAAAAAATGTTTTACCGTTAGGACACTGTTGCATACTTCACATACTGGTTTATTTTTGCGCTGTAATAAATAGTCATGAGTAAGTCGTGTATGGCAGATACGAAGACGGGTAAGTATCACTTGCTCTCTCCTGTCTTATTTTTGGTTTCCAAAGATATAGATGTTTGTTGACTTCGAATAGCCTTGATGGAGTGTTGTTCCAAGTGTGTTGCCATCTTTAAATTATTTTTTGTTTTAAGTATGGTTTTAAATTGTTTTATACCAACATGTTACTTTTTCGGACATCGGGTTAGTTGGTGCGTTTTTAGCCAGCTTTTCTACAACTTCGTTTTCGTTACCTTCAATTCCGATATTAGAAGACACCAATAACAACTGAACTTGGATGTTCTTATTTGAAATGTTTTTAAGTTCTTTTTTAATAAGAAGTAGGAGGGGGTTGTCACAGTACAATTCAGTTAGTGAGGATAATGATCTTAGAGAATCTGTGATGATTATACATCTTTCTTTGTTTTTGTTTTGTATTAACGATAGTGCTTTTAGAATTGCGAATAGTTCAGCCAAAAAGATGGTTGTAATTGATGACAATTCGAAACTTACTGAGGAGTCTTCCGAATAAATTGCTGCTCCAACTCTGTCTTCATTTTTTTGACGCATCGGTGTATACGTTGGTATTGCCATATCTGTTTAATATTGTATGAAACTTTTATTTAATGACGGTTGATGATATCTCTGATTTTCTTAGGTTTGTTAGACTGATGTCGATAGCAGGAATAGATATTGTCCATGGTGCAGAGTTGTGGATTAAAGAGGTATCATAGG